TGCAAATGAAAAATATACTGTTTAGGACATTGATCCAAAAGGCCTCTGTTCAAATTATGCTTCATTTTTCTAAAACCCCTTTATAGCACACCATACATTTAATGATTTATTTATTTATTGCCTGAGGCAAAAATAAATATAGAAATAAATTGTGACTATTACCCATGGTTATCAATAATACCAATATTCATATAAGATATGGATCATTTCTTATGGAGTATGTTCATAATTATTATTTAAAAACCTAAATATTGTTTTAATTCTGGAACCTCACTTAGTTTGACTTTAGCTATTTTATCATCTTTTAGTTTTTCAAATATATAACCTTCAGCTTTATGTGCTATATGCTATTTATGTATGTAGTACATTTTATAGGTTTTTGCAACTTTCTACATACCTCCAGCTCTAATCAATGTTTTTGCCAATTATTTCTAAAATTTCATCTTATCTTTTTTGAAAAAAAAATGGCAGATACCAAGTAATGTCTAACATTCATTTTGCTCATTTATGTAATTGAGCAATATTGGTAATTGGAAATATTATTCTTTAATTTCTCTCTTCTGGTTATCTTCCAAGGCTTTTGGTATCTAAAAATCTACGTTCTTCCCTTGGTCCTGCCTCCCAACTCTGCCACTTCCACGTAAATGTAGATGAAGCATTGCTATGATCAATAAGCATAGATACACCATACTCTCCTCAGTTAGCCCAACCCTCTGAACACTGAGAAACTGTAATACGAACAGGTCTTAAATGAAATATTATAAAACAACTACCTACCACTTCTTGAGAGTGAGTTACATATGTGACATTTAGCTAAGCTTTATAATACATTATCTTATTTTAGCCTCACAATAATTATATTTGGTAATATTAATGTGCCATGTTGGATATGAGAAAATGTGGCCCCCAAAGAGTGAACAACATGCCAAAAGTCATGTAAAACAGAAGTGGGGAGGGAAGCTTAAACCCACTTGCTTTTGGTTTACAACCTGCACTCTTAATCATTAATTTATGCTGCCTCTCTCTTACAGCACTGACTCTGTTAACATCAGACTATATTGTTTCCTAATAGGCTGTTCAGTTTTTCATTCTAATAGAGTCTTGGGTAGATGCTCAACTGATCTCTTAGACATCCCCAGGTATATGTGAATTTCAGTGGTTCACAAAGTGTAGGCTCAACAAAATTTAAATTATAACGAAAAAGTTGTGCAGAATTTAGAGATGCCCTAAAAGTAATTGAAAACAGTCCATGTGTCAGCAAACTGGGGCACAGAGTTGATTGAAGAATATTTTAATAGGGCTAAATCTATTCAGTGAATTTTGGTGATAAATAATTTAAGCACACTGAATCTGCCAGTTTAGAAATATTATTTTTATATAGAATTTTAGATATTCCAAAAACTCCATGTCAGAAAACACAATTAGAGACAAAATATATTTCACGCTTAACAGCTTAACATAATGAAGAGTTACAAACTATCCCATTTCTTTTGGATTTGTATTTTAAATGTTGAACATTTCATGAATAAAACCTGATTATATATAGCATACATATATATTTACATATATATCTCCCAAAATATAGATTAGCAAAAATAGAAAATAATCTATAACATAGTACAGATATTTCTATTAGTATATCTATATTCACATTTATACTATTTAGATAATAGGGTTGAACCTAATCATAGTGTTTTATAAAATGATCTTTAAATGTATTTTATTGTGAAATATGGCAACCAGAGAAAATTGTATATTTAAAATTGCATATTTGTGAATAAATTCCCCTGTGATTCTCAAATAAATAGAATAAAATATTCAGAAGCATTCACATGCCTCTTTATCAACATAAACTCCTTCATCCTTCCAGTAGTAATCACTAATGCAAAATTTATGACTTTTGCTTCCTTATTTTTCTTAATCATTTTATCCATATCTAAACAAAGTTTGGACTTTGCTCAAATCACACTGCATCTGTTCTGTTGTTTCTGACTACTCTCTCTCTAAACAGATCTCTCTCTAAAATTCTTCCAGGTTTGTGCTTATTTGTCCAATACTTTCATTTTCTTGAGTGTATAGCTTTTCGCATCAACATCCCATTATTTGTTTATTTATTCTGTAGATATTTGGGTTGTTTCTAGTTTGGATGTATTACAAGCTGCTATTATTATCCTTGTGCATGTTTACGGGTACTCATAAACCGACATTACGGTGAGATATATACTCAAGCATAGAATTGTTGAGTTACAGGGTATGTTTATCTACTGCTTTACTAGATACTGATTAATCTTTTAATAATGAAGTTTTTCCAATTACGTATTGGCACCATATAATAGTCTCTGTTCCACACTTCTCTAACATTTGTTCAGATTGTGTAATTTATTCAAATCTCTTGGGTATGTGATTATATCTCATTGTAGTTTTAATTTGTATCCACTTGATTTCTAATGAAGTTAAGAACATTTTCATCTTTCTTAGCCATTTGAGTTCCCTTTCTCATAAAGTGAATTTTTAGATTATTTAACCATATATTTGTTTTTGTTTTTTCTTGTTGATTAATTAGTATGTTTTATATTCTGGTATATAAAATGTTTGTTTTTCATATGCATTGCGAATATCTTTATTACCCTATGATTTGCCTTTACGTAGTCTCAGCAGGAAAGGAAAATAGAAATTGCAGTACAAATGTTAAGGTTTATCTTGGCAAAGTAAAGAATTCTTAAACAAAAGCATAAAAATATAATGTATTAAAAATATCGACTACATAAAAGTAAAAAATCCTGTCCATATAAAATTCTAAAGAAACAAATAAATAAGCCATAAGCAGAGAAAAGATATTATAAAACATATACCAGATATATGCCTGATAAAAATAAAAGTATATATATTTACATATTTATATATAAAATATTACAAATGAGTAAGAAATAAAACACTGAAAGACTGACAAAAGACATTACCAGGAATGTATACATGGAAAATGAGACATACATAATTTCTAAACATGAAATTAAATCTTTAGCCATCAAATATGATGAGAAAAACTGAGAAGAGTACACTGTTACTAGTGTTTTTTCCTTCCTGTTACCCTTTTCTCTCAATCCAATTCTGTGAAAATAAAATGAACCAAAACAAAGAAATCAGTTAATCAAACAATCAATTAAATTATAAAATAAAATAGAAAAGAAAATGAAAAGTATGTAAAATATTGTAACATAGGCCTTTTTGCTTTGGATTTCTTTACCAAAACACCCAAAAGGGAGTTGAAACTTTTCTCTGTTATAACAAAAATCTAGCAAACCAATATTTATCCAGAGGAAAACATCAGATTCTTGGTTTACTTAGTAGTATCCCATAGATATCCACAGAGTGAGACCGTAGGTTCCAAGTTGATGTGTTATCACTCAGTGGATACTGAAAGTAAGACAATAAACCCTCGCAGTTTCAGCAATACTTTGTAGATGTTCAACAGAGTATTAGCAACCAGCTGACTGTTAACTCAATTGTGACAGCATGCAGGGTAAACCATGAGATTTCAAATACTGAGGAGGTATTTGGTACAGTGTTTTGAGTTCTGGCATCACTCAATATACACCAAAGCCAGAAAAATTAGGAGCTCTATCTTTATTCCCAACCTGGTAAAGCCTAGGGTACCAGCACTGACACTTTTGATAGACTATCAAGGACTGTTGAGAATGTTAGGCAGGTGGCAGACACAGGTCAGGAGGGGAGTTTCTAGGGGCGGAGAAGCCATGGTGGGGGTGCATGGGGAAGGAACTAAAGGAAAAACACAGCTAACAACCACAAAGAGCAGGGACTTGAGGTTTTGAGGCACACACTCCTGTGGAGCTACAACTTTGTTATAAGAACACCTGTCAATCATGTATAGCAATCATCTGGTAACAACCCACACCTCCCATAAACCCTCCCCTGCACCAAGTCAATAAAAGGAAACCACCTGGGAGTCCTCAATGTCTTTCTCCACTGGTGGACACTGACTCCTTCCTCTCTGGAATGTACTCTCACTTTGTATAGCTCCGTTCTTTTCTGCAATGAAAGCTGTTTGTGCAGAATTGCTTCCTGTCTGCAGTCACTTTGTCACAATGGCCCTGCTTGTGAATTTTCCAAGCAAGGAGCCAAAAAAAGAGGACAACAGTCCTCCAAGAAGCCAGACCTGACAAGAAGAGTCAATGTGTACTACTGACCAGTCACTACTGGCAATTATCCAGGAATGCATTCTCCCTCTGATCATCAAATTGGTAGCTAAATTGTGCTGTGTTGTACTGATCAACTCCCACACAGGTTGTGTCAATCTTCACAGTATAAATCTAAGAAAACGGGAAGATGACAACACTACTATATCTTGATATTGGCATTAGGGTCTCTATGAGTAGAATATAGACAGCAAAGAATGCATTATGCATCATTTGATTATCAGAAAAGAATAATATGCTTGCATGTTGGTTGACCTGTCTAATATATTTGGGTACCACCAATATCATAAAAGAATATCAAGTAGATAAGGATCTGGAAGTATATGTAGAGATCATAAACAAACAATGAATTTAAATCTCCTGCAAAAAAATCAACCAGGATGTTGAGGAATCAGAAGATGGAAAGCAGACTGTGAAAACCGAATCTAACCATAGTACAAGTTTATGACCTAAGCTTATCGAAAGGTGTGGGAGAAGAGGGCGAGTAATCTATACAAAATTGGAAAATGGCATTTTGACTAGATAATGTAAGACTAAAAATATACAAACAAATCTATATTTAAACACAGGATTCTGTTCTCACAAGGGTATGGGTTAATAGGCGTCCTCAAACTACAGTCTGTGGGCCACATGCGGCCCGCCCAGGACATTTATTCACCCCACTCCCCACCCCACCCCCGTGTTTTTGCCGCCCCTGCCTGTCCTGCTTAGCAGCTGATTAGTCCCAGGCCCACAGTGCACATGTGTGGAATGTGCGCTACACTATCCAACGGCCCTCCAACGGTCTGAGGAACAGTGAACTGGCCCCCTGTTTAAAAAATTTGAGGACCCCTGCGTTAGCACTTCTGAAACTATACACTAACTTTGATTGAACAAGTAAGTAAATTAATTGCAGATAATGAGGACGATGCTCAATATTGTCAGAAAAAGAAGTTAAAATAAGTATTTTGGTGGGGGAGTTGCTAGAATAATCCCATGATACTAAAGTTAGAGATAGTATTTAATATGAACTCATGTTTTTTTGATATTCATACATATATAGAAATAATTGCAGATATGTGTATCTCTGTGGTCTCTTGTAGGACCAGAAAGTAAGGAAATGCTCACAGAAAAAGAGAGGATCTTGGGAGAATGTCAAAAGGACACAGGAGTTAAGAAACTTGGCAGACAGCAGCTTAATGAAGTTGTCAGGTCAGCAGGTCATGTTGATATCATATACCCTGTGATATGATGCAATGAAAAAGACATTTCGTCTTCTTGGTATTCTTTCCCCAAAACCCACAACCTCAGTCCAGTCATGATAAAACATTAAACAAACCAAATTTAAGGATATCCTACTAAATATCTGACCAGTACTTATCAAAGCTGTCAAGGTCATCAAAAGCAAGGAAAGCTGGAGAAATTGTCACAAACAGAGGAGACTAAGGAGACATGATTACTGAATGCAATGTGGCAATGTGGATTATGTCCTGGGAGAGAAAATTGACATTAGTAGGAAAACTGTTAGAATCCAAATAGAGCCTAATAGTCTTGTTCCAATATTAATTTCTTAGTTTTGACAAATATATTATTACAGTTATGTATGAAGTTAGCATTAGGGGAAGCAAAGTATAGGATATACAGGAACTCTCTTTACTATGGTTGTAGGTGTTACATAATCTAAAATTATCTGACAGGTAAAAATTTATTCAAAATGATTTTAAAATTACTACTATCATGAAAAAGGCGATGAACTAAGTGCTAAAGACCATAACTTAAGTCACCAGGTCCCAAAAGCTGTGTCTGTTGTTAGAACATTTGGGCTAATACTTGGAAAAGAATGTTTTTTGAGTTAGGCTTAATCTATAGCTTCAAGGAGATGGAAATGATACTAAATTCTCTAGGTCCCTACATTACAATCATCCATGATGACAAGGAAGCTTATCCTCTTCTGTGTATGTACCTGTGTCTGACAGCTTAACACCACTTTTGAACCTATGCCATAATTATGAAGGAAAAAAATCTTCCATGTTAGTCAAGTTATTGAACAAGACAGAGCAGAGAAGAAAGAATGAACTAAATCTTGTGTAATGGATTCAATTGCAGCAAGGTGCAGCAGGACACACAGAGATTGCAAAAGTAACAAAGAAGTTCAGAGTTCCTGTGGCCCCAGAGAGACATTCCTGATGCTCATCTGTAGTAAAGTTATCAATAAAAGAAAAGTGGATGGAGAGTGGGCCACAAGTTGGTACCTCATTAGAGGCCTTTCATTGTTTGCTTTGACTATGGATCAACAACTCAAGGACAGAATTGTATCACTGAAAGATCCAGAAATAAGAGTTATCCTGAGACCTTCCCAGAATGAAGATCCCACAATGTTAAGAACCTGTATCCACAGTTTTGCTACCAGCATGAGTGAAATGAGCATGAACCAGTCAGATATCACCACCTGGTACTCTGAGAAAAATCTTTCAGTCAGTCAAGACACACTGGCAAGATGACCAGACCAACATCTGAGCCATGACATCAAAGATATCAAACACAAAGTAATTATTGTCTTTCAAAAATATGCGTGTGCTCCAGAAGCAAAGTACAGCACTCTGTGAAGCAGGAACACTCAAAATATTTACTGGTTGCATGAGAATGTCTGTTTCTTGCATATGTAACAGCAAAAAAAAAAAAAAAAAAAAAAAAACTGTCTCTGGTGTTCTGGTGATTTGACACTAAGAGCTGCTTTAGAATACATCAAGAAATACCATAGTTGTGAGCCACATGTGGCCTTTTCAAACATCCAGGCAGTGTTTAGATTCTGACAGACGGAGTCTCTAGGAACTCAGTCCAGAAGAATCGAAGGCTCTCAGTTAATGAGTACTCATTGCTCCATCTTCTGGGAATAAATTTGTCTTTGAGAGTAAAGACATTTCCAAGAAACTATAAAGATTTTTCTAAAGGGAAAAAAATCACTTGGGGTTCAAGCTTTGTTTTAATGGAAAAAAGACAAATTAGGTCATGTTTTGCATAGCAAATGGTGGAGTTCCTATCAGTAAACTATTTGTTCCTATCAATAAACAAAAACTCAGTAAACAAAAACTGACAATCGTTTTTATAGCATGATTTTAAAAACTTTCTTCTTCTGCATTTTTAAATGACAGATTTTGTGGCAGTCTAATTACCTTAAATGTATTGTTTCTCCATCTTTGCTTTCAAACCTCTCGTGCTCTTCAAGTATTAGGTAGAGATAACTTTATTTCAGTAAATATGGAACTAGTCTCCAGTCCAGGGTTCAACAGAGGCTGCCAGGCAGTTGAGATAATTAAGGACAGTTCACTCAAAGTATTTTTGGAGAAAGATTTTTTTCTCTTTGATGAAAGAGAGAATTCAGTATTCTTTTCCCTAAAACTATACCATTTCCTACAGTTGAATGCAAGGTGTAAACACAAAGTTTGGAGCATTGCCTAAACATGGAGAAAAGCAAGAAAATTTATGAGATCTCAACCACATTCCTTATGAAGAACCACTGAACCAATATGGCATATCTGCAAAAGCCAGCCTCCAAACTTTATTAAGTAGGAAAAATGAACCTGTTTATTCAATCCTCTTTTTGTTAAATATTACAGAGGAAAACATCTTAGAAGATAGACATAATGAACAAAGCTGTCAAAGTTATTTTTAGAAAACATTTCTAATTTAAGATGAGTTTTGCCAATCTTAATTAGCCTATAGACACATATGAGATCTTATTTAATAATTAATATTTATGGTATTTGATTTTCAGGTGCATTATGATAGAACTCTCCCCTCACACACACACATACAGACATCACAAAAAAATGTGATCTGAGAGTATCAAGAGAGTATTAGCAAGTGATCATAAAACAAATGCAATCCCTCTGAGCAATCCTGCAATTTAATTTAACATTCACCTCCCACCAGGCATTTGCTGGTTAATGCTATACCAATAAACTTTGCACCACATGTGATATTAAACCAGATCCTTTATTTCAAGAAAATAAAGAATGCCTCTTCATAATGTTTGTAATAGTCTGAAAAAGACCCAAAGCCGTGCTCTTACGTGATGGTTTATCAAAAACTACTGATATGTAGTTTTCACTCACAAAAATTTTGCTTCCACAATAATCAAACATGAATCCAAAGAGGTTTATTCTTGACTCAATTCAAGAGGTACATTCCAAAAGCTATTCATAATTGTCTTCCTTTCAGTGATATAAATCTCATGTCTTAACCAGCAGATCTTTGTGCTTGGTTTTCTTTTCCTGAAGAAACATAAAAGTTATCAATGGACTGTTTTTTATTAGTCTTGAGGTTCTATGCCCAGAATCTGGCATGCCTGGATTTATTCTCAGATAGATTCTAGCCATCACACTTCAGCCTCTTTTTCCTATCTTCCTAGTGATTTTCCATCTCATAAATTACCTGACTTCTTCATTAGACTTTCTTATACCCTTTGAGACAGAAACTGCTAACTCTTGCCTATTTTTTCCAGTTGCATCTGCAAGTGATATTAGAACTCAGTCTCCATATTGAATACAATAATATTTTTCCAGACCATGTGGAATATTAATTTCCATTGCCTGACTCAGAATCATCAGTTTCCACAGAATCGTGCTGTCTTTCTTACCCCTAAACTAGAACAAATGCCAGATTAAATCAACTGTGTTTCTTCGAACTTGTGATTGGTACTGCTGGTCTCCTATTCAGAAGTTTATATCTAGAGTGCTAAAACCCAAATTAGATTTTTTCTTCACATATGCCTCCTAGCAAATCTATATAGGTAGAACAAGTAGTCATTGCAGGGTGTTATGTCTCTTGATACACACAGATATCAAATATCTCCATATGCTTTTTTTGGTTGATTACTTTTTTTCTCGTCTTCATATTTTGCTTTTCTGCTTATATTGTATATGTGCCACCTAAAATATATTTCAGAAGTGGGTAATAAATAATGAATTAAAATACAATAAATAGTACTTTTGTTAAATAGAACAAATGTATAATAGCAGAATCTAGACTAGAATACATTCTATTCTCGTTCTCATTTTTTTCTATTGCACTATATTATTTCTTAAATATTCAAAAAATATATTTTTTATCTTTTAAAATATTATCTTGTATGTTAATTGCATAAAAGAAACATGATAATAATTATGTTTAAATGTACCTGCAGAGGAAGAATTCTATGATAACTCCGTGTGCACTTTGTATAAAATCCCCTCCCCTTGAGGATAGGCAAGACCTGTGAATATGATGGGATGGAGTCTCCTATTATTAGGTTACCTTATAGGACAAAGGTGAGGGCATTTTGTAGCTGCAATCAACATTTCAGATCAGTTGATTTTTAATCATAAGGAAGATTATTCTGTGTAGGCCTAACTGGGAATTCCTTAAAACAGGAACTAGACCCACTGTCCCTGAACAGAGAGATTCTCCTGCGGGCTTTGAAGTAAATGTGGGGCCTCTAGGATCAGAGAGCAGACCCCTGTCAGCGAGGAAGTGGAGACTTCAGTCCTACAACCACAAGAAACTGAATTCTGCCAGTACCATGAATGATCTTAGAAGGTGACTCTGAGGTCCAGCCCCACCTATACCTTGATTGCAACCTTATGATACCTCTAAGCAGGGGATCCTTATAGGCTGTGACTGGGCTAGTGGTGAATGTATTTTGTTTTCAGCCACTGAGTCTGTGATAATTTGTTATACAGCAATGCAAAACTAATACAGTACTCTATTGAAAACATTCTACACATATTTCACTCAGAATTATAGAAACCAATGGAGATTATTTGTAGAACTGAAGGAAAAATATCACCTTAATTTTCTTTTTTTTTTAAACTTTTAGAAGTTGCTGTAATTGTCTACCAATTTCATGACATTGGCATTGCTCCTTCAAATTTATTTTATTATAAATTGTTTTTTTCATAGCTTCCTGGTAATTCAGCTTTGAATAGTATTTTTAACTAGTCTAGTCATTATTTCTTTTGTGCTACTCTCAAGAACTATGAAGGGTATGGAATTTTACCTCACTCATAAGCTAAAGAGCTAGCCTTGCATGGTTTCAGAGATTCTTGCAGAGAACAGAGACTCCAGGGTAATAAACAATGGATTTTTTCATCTTGTGAATACTGCCATTTAAAGACAAAACTATATCATTTTTTCTAATGAAAGAATATAACAATATTAATTTTATATCACCA